AAAAGGTGCTGTTGTGCTGTCAAGGTCCCTATTTATAAACTCCCCTAATGCATTTTCTAGCTAAGAGAAAAGACAAAACAGTAGCAAGCAGGTTTGCTTGCTTGCTCTGGGGTATAACACAACCCCACTTAATCTCAGTTGCTTATAAACTGTTTGCTGAGACAACTTGTATTCCTGTAGCACCTTTCCTACAAATTGAATCACCCAGTAATATACAGAGCTCAGTATGATCACAGAGGTAAAAAATAAGTTTCCATAGTAGTGACACAGCTGTGACAGAATTAGATGCATGGTCAGAAAGGCAGAGAAATTTAGAAAGGCAGGTCTGAGGTGTCAGGGCCTGTAAATAAGCAACAAGACTGTGTAGGGCAGAGTGGTTTGGTAAAAAAATTTGATGAGCTGGAGGAATGGGGAGACTAATAACATCTTACACAATGCAGATCACTGATCATTTCCCTACTTTTTGCCCCTATTTTGAATTCTGTAGTGAACTAACAGCCAATTTCCTCAACAGTCATAAAGGTCTTGTTGCTGAACAGTGGATTACACGTGCTCCTGACTGCACAGTACCCGCCAGCACACGGGTCATTTTCCACCCTACTGTGCAGCAGCAACAAGCCTGCAGCAGCAGTGGCATCATGGTTTGCGCCTGCCAACACTATATCGCCATAGCGATGAGATATGTCGCTGTAGCTCATTGCTATGGCAAAGTAGCATCTCATGTAGACATGCCCAGCATATCGTTCCTTATTCCCCTCCACAAGCCTGGCTAATATAGTATGTGCACACAAACTCAAACACCCCCTCCATACCCAGCTGCCTTTCCCTTAAGCAGTCTAGTATTCTTTATTCTCAATGCAAGATATGAAATTGATGTTTCAGTGTAAGTTATAATTTAGTGATCTAGCACTCCAAAAAACAAAACACCTTTCAAACACAGTACCATCTGCCTGTCTTTTTTAATTCAAATTTTTGTAAGCCCATTTCTTTGCCTTGGAAATATCAAGATTTTTCTGAGTTTTATAATTGCCAAGGGAACTGATAACAAGACATCTTACTGTACTATGCTACAAAGCCTCTTCCATATAGCAGAATTTGGGAAGGAGTAAGTTTCCATTTCTTACAGATCTGGTTTTATTTTTTTAAACATGTGGTATTTAGGCATGAAGATAGATAAGAGAACTAATCTTCATGGCTAAAGATGACAGAAGTCTCATAGGTAAGCATCTAAATGACTAGCAATAAGTACTTCAGCAAATGCACAGCAAAAATGCTGGGCTGCAAAAGACAGAAGCTTTCTGTATCCTTGCGTTGCCTGAATAAACCACCCTTTCCATTTCTGATAATCTAGTACCAAGTCTAATCTATGAGAACTTCAAAGCCTTATAAAAGCTTCTGCTTCCCAAAAGAAAAAAAAATCTAAACATAGCATAGAACTTCTATGACAGTATATTGTTGCAATGATTTTTGTGAGAGAGTTTTCAGTATTAGCATCAAATGAAGTAGGAAGAGCAGGCTGCCAGTCATCAATTCCGATCAAGATTTCTGGAAGTTCATTTTTTTTGTATTAGCTTATTTCATAGACATTAGGGGCTGGAAGGGACCTCATGAGATCATCGAGTCCAGCCCCCCTGCCAGAGGCAGGAAGTCTGCAGGGATCAAATGATTCTAGCAAGATAAGCATCCAAACGCCTTTTGAATGAGCCCTGAGTAGATGCTTGCACCACGTGTCACCACACATATAACAGTTTGCATTCATGTTACACCATTTACAAATAACCCAACAAACCTTGGGATATTTCAGTGTGTGGTCATGCCCAAACGGAACAAAAACCACACTGAGTTTAGATAAAAATGCATCACTATCACACAGTCTCTTTGAACTGTATCTATCTTGGACTTACCCTTTCTGTCACAGAAAACTGATGAGTTTCTGCTGAAATTTCATATGTATGGAGTTTTGTTGGCACAACTGTGATAAAATATTGGAACATCTGGTTGTCTGAAACACAAACAAATCTCACTAAAAATTAACATTAATTATAGGTTATAAAATCATCTGAGAAACACTTAAAAGCATATTCTGAAAGGACTATGGGAGAAATGTTACCTATTAACTTTGGTCTACACTGGTGGAATTTAATTCCAGTGTCAAGGCCTAGAAGGAACTAGTATTACACATGGTGCATAGCCCCACTGAAAGCAATCAGGCTGCTCAATTCCAAGGTTATGCAACCTCATGAGTCTATTTAGAGCCTTAGAGTAGAAAGCCTGACATCACTACCATTGTTATTAACCCCATATCTTTAAACCTGTGTATAGCAATAGGCTCTACTGTCAAAAGCAGTTAAATGGTGACTTCAGCCACAGCACTGTACGCACAAGAGCTCCCAACACTGGCAACACCTAGCAAATTTCCTTTGAGGAGACAAATCCATTGAGAACACGTAGTAAGCAAACAGTACTTTATAAAGTCCTTTCACCATCCTAACAAAGCACTGATCAAACTAAAATGATGATTTCAAGTTAAATATTTCAGATCATCACCAACTAATCTGCATAACTGTCTGATCAAAGAGCTAAAGTTATGAAGTTTTTTAGCAAGTCATTTAATTTCTTTTAAACAGTTGGGCCAATATACCTACCATTGACAAGCACTGCTGCTACTATTACTTTAAAACAATGCATCCAAAAACCTCAGTTGGTTTTGAATACTAATGAATGAGTGTGTCAAGTATTCATAAATTAATCATCATGATACTCCTGTGAAAAAGGTATGTCTTAAATTTATACATGAGGAAACTTAAATGATTGCCAGAGATGACACAGTATTTTAGCAAACACCACAGGAGCACAACCTGGAAATCCTGAAGCTCAGTTGCACTCTAACAGATATTCTCCCCTTTAAAATAGCAAGGGGCTCTGCCTCCACCATAATATACAGCTGCAGGGTCCTTTAGCACTGTCCAAGCTAGATGACTGGCTCACCCATAATGTAAATATAGTGTATGCATAGATGTGCATGTGTGAGAAATTGCACATCAGCTTCAGAAGTAGCGAAAAAACACCCATTGGCATTGAACCAATTCATTAATGATGCAGTGTAAATAAAAACAGCAACTCAAAGCTGCATTACAGATGTCCAATTTAGCAAAATTTTCCATGTGTATTGGGTAGCATTCAAGAAAAGAGTGCTAATTCTTTTAAGCTAAAATTAAAAGAAAGTCTCAGATTTCAAATTCACTTTCAATCATACAATACTTACGATCTGATGCAATTTTTTCTGTTCCATCCAAAGGATTAATAATTCCTGGAATAAGCTCTCCAAAAGACAAATGATCTATTCTGTGAGAGAAGTTGTATGCTGAAAGATAACAGACAGCAACCACCAAATAAGATTTTCTGGAAAAAATATCAAACACTATAGCTTACACAATTGTCATAATAGGAAATGCATCAAGTTGAATATTCAAACCCTTTGAGAGAAATATAAAAATGTTAACAGATAAGCATTTACTAGAATCATAGACTATTAGGGTTGGACAGGACCCTCAGGGGGCCATCTAGTCCAACCCCCTGCTCAAAGTAGGAACCATCCCCAACTAGATCATCCCAGCCAAAGCTTTGTCTAGCCAGGTCTTAACCCCCAAGGATGGAAAGTCCACAACCTCTCTGGGTAACCTGTTCCAGTGTTTTACTACCCTCCTAGTCAGAAAATTCTTCCTAACCCTAGACTTTCCTTGCCGCAACTTGAGATCATTGTCCTTGTTCTGCCACCTGCCAACACTAAAAACAGTCTAGCTTCCTCCTCTTTGGAATCCCACTTCAGCTAGTTGAAGGCTGCTATTTAATCCTCCCTTAGTCTTTTCCTCTCTATACTAAATAAGCCCAGTTCCCTCAGTCTCTGTTCATAATACATGCGCCCCAGCCCCCTCACCATTTTGCTGGCCTTCGCTGGGCTCACTCCAATTTGTCCACATCCTTTCTGGAGTGGGGGGGTCCAAAACTGAACACAGTACTCCAGATGTGGCCTCACTAGGGCTGAATAGGGGGAATAATCACTTCCCTGGACCAAATGGCAACACACCTACCAGCTCAATATGCTATTAGCCTTCTTGGCAACTAAGGCACACTGCTGGCTCATATTCAGCTTATTGTCCACTGTAACCCCCAGGTCCTTTTCTGCAGAACTGCTGCCCAGCCAGTCAGCCCCCAGCCTGTACTGGTACATGGGACTGTTCCATCCTAAGTGCAGGACTTTGCACTTGTCCTTGTTGGGCCTCATGAGATTTCTTTTGGCCCAAACCTCCAATTTGTCTAGGTCATTCTGAATCCTAGCCCTACCCTCCAGCATACCTACTACTCCCCTCCAGCCTGGTGTCATCAGCAAACTTGATGAAGGTGCACTCTATGCCATCTTCCAGGTCATTGATGAAGACATTGAACAAAAGTGGCCCCAGGATTTTATTTTCCCAAATCCCAAGTTGTACCTTATTACAAACATTTGCAATGTTTAAACAAAAATATGTTCCATTTTGTCCTGGCACTTCTTGGAGTCAATCGTAAAGCAAAGTATGCAGGCACTTACAATAGCCCAAGAGTTAAAGATGAACAAAAGGTGTTTCACAGCCCAGGAAACCTCTAGGTGGTCAAACAGTGGCATCAGTCTACAGTTCACATTTCAGATTTGTGAGACTAACTTTGTTGGAAAGATTGAATTGTATAAATAACATGCACAAAATAATTCATTCCTGATCCTGCCAAGATGTGTGTGCACATTGATACTGTTTATTTGAAAGAAATTGGGGGGTGGGGAAATCTTACCCTCATGGCTCACAAGGGCTGCCAAGTGTGCATGGCCTCTGGGATGAGGGATTGCCCTAAAGAAAGAAAAGAGAGATATGTTGTATGAAACACTGGTTTATGGAAAGACGCTCAGTTAAAAAAAACTTGAGTTCCTCCAAGCAAGTTACCAGTTTCTCTTATTTGGAATAGGCAAAATATTTTCAATTGCTCATAAAAAGAACCAGAACAACATCTGAAAATGACACTGAACTCAAGAAAATCCTCCAAATAATCTATTTTTTGTGAAAAAAACAAACAAACTACAGACTGGCCAGCAGGTTGCAAAGGAAAGAGATGTCAATCCTACATGATCAAAATTCTGTATAATAGTCCAATTGCATTTCTTCATTGCATTTGTCCTTTGACTAGATACAGAGTCAGTCTCATTTGCAGGCCTGTGCAGTTTGTGCACTAGGACAGGGTGGAAGCAACAGAAAGGAAATTGGGGAGGGGGGCACCAGAAACAGTGGAGAAGAAGCAACATGAAATAAAAACTGGAATGCCCCTCTCCCTCACCCCTTTGGGACCACCAGACTTCCTTACCTGTACTTAATTACATCTTCATAACCAGTGCTGACCCCCACCCTCCACAGACAACTGAATTAAAGGATTTCCCCCTACACATTTGCACAAATGAAAAAATGGAGGGATAAGAGACTGGGAAACCAGCATAAGGATACTATGATACATTATGGGTAGAGGCCCCAGTTATAAGGCTGATCTGGGCAGATACTAAAAAGTAGGCAGCAACAGGATTTAGCGAGAGCACAGAGATTAAGAGAAGTGAAAAGCTATTCTTCTTCCACCTAATCAGCTACAAGGGTTCACTGTGGCAATATTGGTGAACAAACAAGAAGCTGCTTAAACAGATTTTCAAGAGTTCAAAATTCTTCATTTTTAATTATAGTCAAAGTGGTGGTTCAACTGTACCAAAAGATACTGTATGAAAAAAAATAAGATCAAGAAGCAAATCTGTATCAATAAGAAAAGCATCTAGCTATGCAATAGGCACTCAAAGCGGTTTTTCTTAATTATGAAGCTATCTGTCACAGTCAGTTTGTAGTATTTTCAGCAACTGAACAGAACATACTTGCCCACGGTTATGTGAAAGTTCCCTGCCACTTTATTGACATAAAGATGGCCATGAATCCGGCATGCATCTGGAGGCTGTAAGGAATTATCTTCCCTGTTTGAACAAGAAATAGTAAAGCAGCTTAAATACACAGCAATTGAAAATACCCTTCACCCAGGTGAAACAATGCCAGAAAGCATAAAATTTAGTATCCAAAGTAAAAAAAAAAAAAATGTTCTTGTATCCTTCTGGTACAACCTAGCACATCAAGAAAACAAAATTGGAAACTGTGAACACTAAAGTATCCAAACTTCCATGCTAACAAGCATGACTTAAAAAGGCTAACAGAGAATGCATCTGAACACAGAGGTCATGTCCCTCCATGAAACAGAGAGAGGAACAAAGCGGAAAATTAGTTTACACACTATCCTGATGCCATTCATATGTTCAACACATTAGTTTGGCTCACCAGACTATCTGGAAGGAGCTGGAAAGCAGTTCACCAAAATGAATAAAATCATTTGAAATAAATGAAGTATTAGTTATACAATTATCTTACATCACAGGAACAGACCACTATGTCCTAAAATATTAAATAAAACTTCGGATTCAGGGACCCTGAACCAAAGCAAAGGCATTCAGGTCTTTGGCTTTGTAACTTTAGCCTAAGAAATGTATTAAAGAGCACATATGACAGAAGTTGAAGGCAAATTACAAAAAAAACTCAAAAACATTCTCTCTCTCTCACCTTGGTGGTAGTGCTGTCGAAGCACTTCTAAAAGCACTTTTGAATATTACATCTTGAAGAGAGTGTTCTTCCTGCAGCCTACTCTGAATTAACTGCAGCATCCTAAAGATCACACAGATAATTACAGCAAGTATGAATACATGCAAAAGCATAACCAAAAATAAAGCCATAGTTAATTAACTGTTAGCTACAATCACATATATTAAGACACCCAAGATCAACATGGTATGTTAAATACCAACACGCTAAATGTTACTCTTGCTGCTTAAGCTTATTTTTAGATTGTGTAAATAAGACGTAATGCAAGCTCCAGTGTTTGACACTGTATATCAGAAGGATAGTGAAATTAGACAGATAGCTAAAGAATTTAAAGAGGCTTTAGTTTCTGTGACAGCTTTCAAATGAGAACATAGCTGAGGCTGGCAGGTCTAACCATTCTTTTACTTTGGCAGTGGGTCCAGCAGTAAAACTCAGCCTTTTGGGACTCTGGGCACATGTCACTGCCACCATGTGAGCCAACCTTCCAAGTCAAACAGGAACAAACAAGCACAAACTCTATGCTTGAATTCCTACTATAAAAAGTAGTGTGTGCAATATGCAGGGTTTCCCACTAGAGCACACAGGCATCTCTATTTGCTTACTGTTGTGTTCTATAATAAAATGGAGCATTTCTCCTACCCTCTCCTCAGGCAGTACCTACTGAAGGAAAGATAATCTAAAATCCTTGTATATAATAATAATTAATCCAGGAATGTCAATTATTTTGGCTTTATGTCCCAATTAATTTGCTTTCATATGCCTCAATATGATAAAGGAGTTTATAAAATTGAACACACCTACCAAAAAAACACACCTTATATAAAATTAAGCCAAACAAACACGCTGTCATTGGTTTATTACAAGGATTGATACTTGAACAAGTTTTGCATTAAAAATGTGAAAGATGGTATTTTACTCACAATACAGTATGAAATATTCACCACTATAAAAATAAACGAGCTTCAATTTACTGGATCTGCACTGCTACCTAATGGGCAGCTGCTGTTCAAATGTAATATATGGCTTTGGTTGACAGACTTTAGGTATACTTGGGCTATATCCAGCAGTAAATGAAAAACAGACATACCCCTCTCCAATGCGTGTGTGTGTGTGCACATACACACACAAAAAGAGAACACTACATAATTATCTATTACCTTTGCCACTCTCTTTGCTGGGGACTGAGTTCAAATATTACCTGCAAAGAAGAAAGATATGGTAAAACCATACACAAAGAAAGCATCAAAATCCTCCCAACATAACAGGAAAAGCAGAATGATTGAAAAATAACATCCCGTCTGGTGCCAAAAATAGCCATCTATGGGTGGCAGACAAAAATTCATAAGATAACTTGGTTTTAGCTTTGTTACATCCATACACATCACCAGGATTAGCTCAAGCTGCAACTTAAGTCAAGACACTACAGCAGGGTCCAACTCCCTTACTTTGTGAGGAATAAAACATAAGTACTTACACTGTACACGTAGGAGAAAAGTCACCCTTCAGTACAGTTGCTGCTGTACTGTTGATTACACATCTAATGATTACTGGCTTTTCATTTCAGTCTTACATTAAGCTTCTGGCATGAAGCTGGCAGCAAACTGAAAAGGTGAACTGAAATAATGATATACACATTCGCTCAACAACTGCATACTGAACATTCTCCAAGAGTGAGTATGTTGTTTTCTCAACCAAGATGTATGGGAGCTTGTGGACCAAAGAAGCAATGAGCACACTACTTAAATAGTTTAATTAATCAGATCTCCAACTAAACAAAAAATTGTTATGTGGCATTTACTCCCAGCATGTCACGTAATTAGTCCCCTTTCCTTCAGGGCCTCTGTGCTGACTTGAAGCCAGGCATATAAGCTAGTTCTGGGAGGCAAAATGCAATTACTGTGCTTTCTGCAAGTAAGGGAAATGGTTTCTGGCAGATCTCATAACTAGACACAACATGGTGTATCTAGATGAAAAAAAAGGAGCCACAATAATAAAAAAAGCTCATTAAGGAACTTGCAATTGCTCTGCAAACAGTACCTGAAGATGGGTCTCCACAATATGCAAGAGACCAAACATGCATTCACATACACAAAATGGTACTTTAGGAAACAAAATGGGTACAGGCATCTCTTGGGGAATTTCAGGGAGAAAAAAAAATTAAAATCACCACTCTCAGACAACCCGAGATCCAACATTACAAGCACCTAACTGAAAGGCAAAAAAGGTTCAAGAAAAAGACTAATAAGCAAAAGCCAGAAAAAACAAAAACAAAAATCAAGCAGGACTGCTTCTGGGAGATCTTTGCTTGTTTTATTTAACACCTAATTGTTGCCCCTTATATTTTTACTGCTGAATTCTAAGTTTTACCTAATGGTGATGCAATTTAACAGCCATACGATACGCAAAGCTATTCCATAAACATATACCTGGGCAAGAAGTCTGATGTTATTTGCTTAGCTATAGTACACTGAAATCTGAGTGAGCACGCAGAACTCTGGAATTAGGCTTATTCTGCAACCAAAAAAAATGGAGTTGAGCACTTGCGACATCGTGGAGTACAAGTATGACTGACTGCAGTGTGACTCTTCATGGGCCCAACTGCAAGATCAGTAAGATCAATTTAGCAATGGGGGGGGAGGAGGGGGAGGAATCAAGCTTGTCACGGCTGGCACATAGCATTTTAAACAAAAAGAGAATAAAGTTAACTTACTGGTTCATATGCTAGCCCATCTGCAGAAGCAACCATTGTTTCCGCCAAGTCCAAAACATCAGCCCCCACATCTGTTTCCAGTGAAAAACAAAGCATTAGAGCAACAGACATATATAACAGCTGGCTCCCTCTCTTCATTCAGATCATATTTGACAGCAGTGTTTCAAACCTATCAGTAAAACAGCAGCACACTTTACAACTGGAATTTTTTTTTTTTAAAGAATGCAAGTTCATTACAAAGTAGGAAGGAAAGTACCAATAAATTGATGATTACAGGGCTATACAGGGAGGAACACACACACACTTTTCAACTTGTACAACTTCAAAATGTCACAGAGAAGAAAATCATTACAAAACTTAAATCTTTTCCCTTTGACAAATATTGATATCATGTTCAAAATGATGTCAGTTTACATGGAGGATGAAGCTACTTGTTGTTCTTAAAAAACAGAAAAAAATCATAGCAAGCTTTAGGGCTAGCATAAAATCCATAAAACTGATAAATAAGAAATGTTAATTTTATATATGACTTTGCATCTCTTGTTTCCATAGCAAAAAATAACTGTCATCACCACCCAATGAGATAGACAAGTACTGTCCCAATTTACAGCTCTCTGCTTCAGCAGAGGTAAAAGGACTTGCTCAATACCAAAGAATGTGTATCAGCACAGCGTTTACAGTTTAGGGGTTCTTAGCTCCCTGTCTTATATTGGATTAAAAAATAAAACAACTAATAAGAATAAGGAAAGGGAGAAGAATTTGTAAAACCATAACAAATATATCCCTCAGCAATACATGTTTAAACAAAGACCTCAAGTCATACATTTTCAAGCTTTTTAGATTAAAATGAGAGAGAGAGGGGTGGGGGAAGACAGAGAGAGAGAGACTTAATATGAAATGCAAGCAAAGCTTATAGCAGCAAGCTAGCTAGGAAAACCTGAATTCTCTGTCAGTTCAGGGAAACCAAACAATTTTAAGTTTAATTATCTATAGCTTGTCAAAGAGCAACAAGTACATGCTTAAAATGATGAAGGCCCTCATTGATGGAAACGTCCAACTGAAGAAGAAATTAGCTTCAGCCTCAGTTTTGATGTAAGCAAAACAAGTTGATGATCTGCCCTGATTTATTACTGTGATAGATTCCTCCACTCTCTTTTGGTTAATTGTGCCTGACACTGCACTTGAAGCACAAGTGACATAGCTACAAAATGACTAGAACAAATCAGACCTTCTAACTGGACAGCCAACCCCCCAGAACAAGTTCTGGAACATGTATTGTATTTGAAGAACAATAAAATACCCAAAACCACAATACAGTCATAGGGATGGAATACTTACATTGACACTTCATAGCAACTGTAATATCTATGTTGATTCTTAACTTACTAGAAGACAAAAAAAAAAAAAGTATTTGCAACAGTAAACAACAAAAGTATAAACACCAGAATAAAATAGCTGGGAAAATACACACAGAAAAATTCCAAGGCCAAAATTTGTACCAGTAGATGTAAACATTGCCCTCAGTATAAAATATGAGAAACTGAGGCAGGAATATTTTGAGCAAATTATATTACCTGCTGTGCATCTAAATGGCTAATGTTCTAGCTACATAAATGGTTTTTTTGGCACTTATGCACAGGTTGCCATTCTAAAACCCCTGCTATATGAGTGGGCAGTGTAGACTGAGCATGCAGTATGTTACACAGGTACACAGCAGCCATGTGTAAATCCTTGGAAAAATTGAGGAGGGCCCTCCCATGTTTTTGCTCCAATAGTTAAGCCATTAAAGCATCTGCCTAGGAAGCAGATTCTAGGACCCTGTGGCCCAGAGGGCATTTGAACCTGTAACCCTTGTCTTCCCAGCAAAATGCCCTACTAAACAGGCCATCAGTTAAGCACTATACAGGCCCCTCTCCAGTATTCCTTTTGAAGCTGAGTCACTGCATTTATCAGCCACTAAATTCTGTTAGTTTTCCTGAGTACGGAAGTCAAATAAGTTTCTTTTTTTTAAGAACTTCTCTGTCCAAGAGACTAATCACCAAAACAAAAAATAATTACCCAATGATTTCAGGTAGCATCTCAATCTGCAACTGCTTATAAGTTTCAAAAACATTTTGAATTTGTTCCTTTTTTGAACAGTGCACAAACAGCAAACTTTAACTTAGAATTCAAAGATATTCTGAGAGGTAAAGGTTACCTAGTAAAATCCTTGTCTACTTCATATTCATATTTCATCCATGTGTCCCGATACACCATAAACTCCATTATTGTTAAGAAAGCCATAGTTGTAAATGCTATAAGGGAAACTGAGAAACCAAAAAAAAAAAAAATGGTTATGGAGAAATTATTATATCCTGCCTGGATTTACCGAATCCCCCCCCAAAAAACGAAAAACAAAAAACACAATACAAAGGATTTCACATTTAAAATTTCACATTTAAGGAAAACATTTTTGTACAGATAAATGAATTTATTTATGTCAGGTCTTGACCAAGATTTCTCCACCAAGTCATAAAGTTAGTTTTCTTCAAAACATGTTAACTCTACAGATTTTACATTAACGCAGGAAGTGAGAAGGTGAAAGTTCCAAGACCCCAGATATCTTTGAGGTTGCAACATGTGTGTCTTGTGAGAAAACTCCAGCTGGTTCATAGAGATGTTTTAAGCAATGACGGCCAACCTTTGACAGGTTTGCCACAAATTAGCCATACACCCTTCCCAAGAGCCAATCTGATCCCCTTACCCTGCTCTATCTGCTGCTCTGCTTTCTGCTTCCCCCCCGGTCTACTGTGTGCCACACACAGAAGCTGCCTGTACCACTTGTGGCACATGACACAGATTGGCCAGCCCTATTTTAGCATATTGTAACTACAGGGTACATACCTTGTTCATTAGAAAAATGATACAGTGGCTTTGGAAAAGGAGAGGGATGGAACAACCGGCACCATACCTACAGGCTGGGGAACTCCCTTCTCGTCAGTGCAGAGGCAGAAAAGGATCTTGGAGTCGTCATTGATGCCAAGATGAACATGGGCTGGCAGTGTGGGGATGCAGTCAGGAAGGCCAACCACACCTTGTCATGCATCCACAGATGCATCTCAAGCAGGTCCAAGGAGGTGATCCTCCCCCTCTATGCGGCACT